GAGGTAGTCTTTATAGTAAAGAATAAAAACATACCCCCACTATTTTTTAAAATCCCCACCCGAGGATATTTTTCCATTCAACTTCAGAGAGAGTGGGAGAAGGAGAGAGAGAGAGAAAAATCAATGTGAGAGAGAGACACATCGACTGGTTGTCTCCCGCACGACCCCAACTAGGGCCAGGGACCAAAACACAACCGAGGTGCATGCCCTTGATTGGAATCAAACCCGAGACTTTTTCATCTGACACTCTAACTGCTGAGCCAAACCGGCCAGGACCCCCCCTTTTTTTTTTTGGTAAAGCATGAACTCCATTTAAACGCCTGTTAAGAGAGCCCGTGATCTGCTGCAGGACTCGCGGGGGGTTGTGGTATTGGAATTAATAATCAAGATCTGTTCATTCTCTGCCTTTGCCCCGGCTGCCTTCCAAGACATGATGTGGTGTCCTGCCGTTACTGCTCCGGATAAATCAATGATAATCTTCCACCCAGTAGGGGCAGGTCCTAGAGAGGCACTCCAGTGTCAATGCACTGCTAAAATCTGGTTTCTTGGAACAAGAGGCTTTGAATTCGCCAGATTGCTTGCTGAGCCTAAAACACTGCACACGTGTGATGACCTTGACTTGCCTGTTTCCATGAAACCTCTTTCCCTTAAGCCATGGTCGACACTTCTAAGTCCCACGGCAGGGGTCCAGCTTCAGTCTCTGTCTTTCCACTACTGCCCATCGTCCAGGTCTAGCCCATTCTCTGTGCCCCACTCACTGCTGGCATTGATTCTGCTCTGACGGGAGCTGAGAGGGCTGTGCAGGGGGTAGGGGTAGGCTTCGCACGCCCTGTGCGGGCCGATGCTTTCTCCTCTCTACTGGGCTCCTCCTTTGGGGAAAGCTTGAGGGAGAACACTTTTCCACCTTCTGTCCACTCATCCATTTGTTTATTCCTTTGTTTATTCATCCACTTCTTAAAAATGCAGGAACCAAGTCCCTGAGAATGGGAAGCATTTTGTGGCTGTGGGGGTACACAGAGGGGAGGGGAGATTTGGACTTGGCTTTTGAAGAGCCAAACGCAGACAGAGAAAAGAGACCCCCAAATGCCAACAGTGACCATCTCCAGGCGGCAAGTTGAAGAGTGATTTTTATTTTCTTCTTTGTGGGTGTTTGTTTCTAATTTTTCCTCCAATGAGCATATATTAGTATTTGTGTGATAAAAGTTATTCAAAAGGTGACTGCATGGTAATCAGGTGCTCAGTGCACAAGGGAGGTGCAGATGAAAATACTTGGAGAACAGAGAGGAGGGAAGTGTTTTCTGCCGTCAGTGGAGAAGGTCATTGTTGAGCTGGGCTTTGAAGCTGGAGGAAGATCTCGCATGGACGTGGGTGAGATGGTCTGCCCAGCATCCCCCTCCTCTCCTCTGACTAGCTCCTCTGTCTTCAGCCCACAGGGAGCTGCCTGTTATCAGATGACCCAGCCCTCGTTCCCGTGGTATCACCTTGTTTCTTAAGAAAGGTACTTGCTTGAAAGCTTGGAAGGGCTCATCTTGGAAGGAAGCAGGAAAGGTGAGAGGCCCTCTTTCCTGCCCTCTCACTCTATAGATGTCCTGAGTAATACAAGGACTGACAGCTAGAACTCAGGCCTCTGACAACTTCAGCCTCGTCACATACTGGCACACTCAAGTCATTTCCATCCCTCATCTTCTGCCTCCTCTTCCACCTTGCCTTCAACATCTTGTCTGCCCAGAAAGGGTGTCCAGAGAATATTGACTGACACAGAGTTCAGCCTTTTCTCCTCAGGGGGCTCCTACCCTAAAACACATGCTCAGCCAGAATTGGCCAGCCTGACTGTAGCTCTCAGGCTGAGATGGTTCTTATCTGGCCACGTGGGTGGAGGCAGCAAGATCATGTGGGCTGTTTTGATTTTATGTTCATTCAGTTACTTTAGCAACAGAAAACAATGGGAGGCAAAGCACCACCTACCACAGCCTCAATCCACGGAGAAGCATGCGGAGTGGAGGAAGCCCTGGCCCGAAAGTCAGAGGCCAGCTTCCTGCCTGGGCTCCGCTGGCCGCTGGCCAGCTGCTCCCACAATTCACCTCCTCTGGGCCTATTCTAGACAGAATGGGGCTGAGGGCTCTCTGGATGGCTCCAGGATGGTGTGGCAGAGCACAGTCCTCTGGGGAGAAGACCCCACTAATCTCACGATGGCCTCAGGCACAGGAACTGTATCAAAGCAATTATTTGCCAGCCAGGTCTCCTGTGACTTAACTTGTCACTCACCACCTGTGGTGCAGAAATGTTTGCAGACCAAGCAGATGACTGAGCTCCAAGGAGGCTGGCACCTGGCAAGCGTACCCGGATGGATATTGCTTTAGCTGGGGTAGAAGGTAAACCTGGCACGTGAGAGTGCAGAAGCAAAGAGCTTGAGGAAGTCAAACATAATTATGAGCTGCTCAACTGTACAAATATCTGTAATAATAATAATACCTTGGCATGGCTTTTAAATTTTTCAAAGCTCTTTCACATCCATTCTCTTGTCATGTTCTCATTACCATCCAGTGAGGCAGGTGGAGCAGATATTATGACCTGGATGTTGCCATGGAGGACACTGAAGATCCTGGGGTCTCTTGGACAGTGGTTGAGCTGGACCTGGACCTCTGTCCTCTGCCTCTTGACTTCGGAACCTTTTTGTTGGACATGACTGATGAGAGCTATTATGAAGCAGAAGAATTTGCTGGCCTTATTTGTGGCCGATTCTTGGACTTAACACAGGTCAGACACCTTTCTGAAGAAGAAAGAAAGCCAAGATTCATTCATCCAACAAATCATTTTATTGAACACCTACTATTTGCCAAGCGCTGGGCTAGGCACTGAGGATTCAAAAGTGAAAGATGTGGTCTGCACTCCTGAGCAGCTCCGTCTATTAGACTCTTACTCTTGCTTAATTAAATCTCCCATATTGACACTGGATAGAACCACCAACCATGAAATCCCCAAACCTTCCACCTGGCAAACATTTTTGTATCCCAACAGAATTCCACCGGGCTGCTTCCATGATAGGAAAAGGCAACTTCTCCTAACATGGATGAGGGGATAACCAGGAACGGGGAGCAAAGATGAAAAGCATGAAGCAAATGTGAAAGCCACCCTGCTCTGGGGCAGGGTCTGGGCTGCAGGGAGCGGAGAGAGGCCCGTTGGCTTGATGAAAACGTGCTTCTGGGAAAGCAGTCAGGGGGGGCCTCCTGGACAAAGGCGGGGGGCTGACAGGGAGTCGGAGAGGCAGCCTTGAGAACAGCAGCTACAAATGGGTGTTGAAAGGTAACCTGAAGCCCTTTCTTTGAACACACACAGCCATTAAGTTCCTGATTCCACAGATGGCAATTAGGGGCCACACCCCATCCACAGCAGACCATTTTCTGAGTTGATGTGTAGAACCTCAAGGCCAGAGGCCGAAAGGTCCAGACCAGCCTGACAACGGAGAATCCGAGACTAGAGCCTGAGGAAACCGTTTTAGTGTTTTACCTCTTTTCCTCCACTGTGCCTAGTTCTCTAAACAGAAAAAGTATTCAACACCTTTTAGACTCTCTCAAAGCAGCTTTTATCTGTTCAGCAAAATGACAGCAAGGGGACACATTTCCACTTGAAGAACCCAAACTTTCCAGGTCTACATAAGGTTTCAGTAATCCTTAACTCAAGTAAACAACCTCTAACTTAGATTTCTGTTTTTCTCTGCAGAATTTGCAGCCCAAACATCCACTGTGGGTTACAGATGCAAGAGAAAGGGATTCAGAAAAAGCCACGGCAAGTGAGGTTGTGATACAAAGAGGAACATCAGAAGGCAAGTTGAGGCCTACGTGGTTTTAGTTTTAATGTCCAGGGACACAAACCACAGCACAGGAAAGGGAGTTTCTTGCTTTATTTTGTCCTGCTGATGAAGACTACCTTCACATGGGCTGATCTGTACAACAGCAGAGAGATGCTTGAAGAGCCAGACCACGGGCGCAAGTGGAAAGTGGATTTGAATTTCACGTTGCAAACAGAGTATTAGACCTGGAAACTGGAAGAGGCCTTAGAAATCATTGAATCCAACGAATGTATTTTTCCACAAAGAATCAGAAATCTCCATTATATAGATAATCAGTGTGGTTAGCTGTCACTCTGCGTGGCCCATGTGGAAGCCAGCACCCGTGGCAGGAACTTGCATTGGTTTACTAGGGGGGCGGTAACAGAGCAGAGCAAACCCGGTGGCTTGAACACAGAATTGTGTCTCCCAGTTCTGGGGGCCAGAAGTTCAAGGTAAAGGTGTTGTCAGGGTTAGTTCCTTCTGAGGGCTGGGAGGGACTGTTCCTTGCCTCCCTCCTAACGACTGGGGCTTGCTGGTAATCTGGGCGTTCCTTGGCTTGTAGAAATGTCACCCTGATCTCTGTCTTCATCTTCACATGGTGCTTTCCCTGGCTACATGTTTGTCTCTGTGCCCAGACTTCTTTTTAAAATAAGGACAGCAGTAATCATATTGAATTAGGGCCCATCCTAATGAACTCATCTTAATTGAATTCGTTGTATCTGCAATGACCCTATTTCTATATGGAGTTATATTCTGAGGTTCTGGGTGCATCAACATATAAATGGGGGGTGGCACAGAATTCAATTCATAACAGAACTCTACCTACATTGTACCTGGTCCTCACAGCACGGCTGCAAGCTTGGGGTAACTCCTATTCTATGGATGGGTCGGGCCCCAGCAGGTGCATGTGAAGAGGGTGGACTCCAGAGCCAGGCTGCCTGGGTTGGTAGCTCTGCCCCCCTTTCATGAGTTAATAAATGTGGGTACCTCGTTTAACCTCCTTGTGCCTGTTTCTTCACCTGTAAGACAGGGTCAATACAGGTCCACGATTTCAAAACCTTCGAAGCTCCACTTACCAAAAATCGTATTTATAACCCATTGGGCAGCACAAGCTGACCTGAATAGACTCACTTGATACAAATTCTGTCTTGAATTGACACAAGGCCACTTATAGTCTTTCTTTATTCAACATGCACATCTCACTGCAGAAATATTGGCACGATTGATTGGAGGACACTGTCGCAGATGCTGCAGGATGTTATGTTGTCTGCAGTGCATGCTCCATGTTATCTTCCTCAGATCCCCAAATTCTGACACGTGAAACACGGCAGGCCCTGAGGATTTTGAGTAAGGGAATGTGGTGCCGCATACATGCATCCTGTGGTTGTAATCAAGGATAAGTGAGTTAATATGTGTACAGTACTTAGACTACTACCTGGCATATAGTAAGCACAACACACGTATTTACAAGTAGAATAATACTAATTATTGTTTTGTCTAAAGTCACGCAGGTGGTACACCAGGAAAGAAGGTTCTGGTCTTTCTTTCCATGCAGGAATGTCTGGCATTGGAAGCTGTGGTTGCCAAGCAGGCTGAGCCACCTCTGCAGCTCCAGGGCTGGAGTTCATGTCCTTTGCTTCATAAACCAGTGTCTACCTTCTGAGAGGGTGATCTCGTGAAATCAGGTTCCTGTTTGTATTAATATGCTAGGGCTGTCATGACAAAGGACCACAGAATGGGTGGCTCACACAACAGAAATTAGTTTTCTGACCGTTGTTGAGGCTGGAAGTTTGAGACCAAGGTGTCTGCGTGCTGATGTCTGAGGCCTCTCCTGGCTGGTGGACACGGTCTCCTCACTCTCTGGGTCCTAACCTCTTCTTGTAAGGACACCGGCTACACTGGACTAGGGCCCACCCTGTTGACCTTATTTTCACTTAATTACATCTCTAAAGGCTCTATTTCCAAATACAGTCTACTTCTGAGGTGCTGGCAGTTGGGACTTCCACATATGAATTTGGGGGTTGGGACACAATGCAGCTCATAACACTACTTCCAGAAACGAAGTGAATTGCCACGCACACCAGATGCATCCCATGCATTTGCTGGCTTCTTTCTGCTGCAGCACTTTTCAAAGTGTGGTCCAGGCCCTGGCCAGTTTGGCTCAGCGGTTAGAGCGTCGGCCTGCGGTCCAGAGAGACCCGGGTTCGGTTCCCGCTAAGGGCACGTACTTCGGTTGCAGTTTGTCCCCGGCCCTGGTTGGTCGTGCGGGTGGCAGCCACTCGATGTGTCCCTTCACATCGATGTTTCTCTCTCTCTCTCCCTTCCTCTCTCTCCCTCCCAAATAAAAAAAAAAAAAAAAAAAAAAAAAAAAAAAAAAAAAAAAACAAAGTGTGGTCCAGGATGCCATGCAGTCTAATCTCCTGGGACCTCAATAAAAATAAACCTGCCCAAGCCCGAGTCAGAATCTGGGGGAGGAGATGGCAGAGCCTTCTAGAGCTTGCTTGTGTTTTACATTTATTTGAAGGTTTAGTTTAATTAAGGGGATTCAGGAAAAGGTAGATAGCAAGGTAACCCCCCGCCCCCACCTCCCTGCAGCCTCTGCAGTCCCCCAGGGAAGGTCCCACCAAAGAGGAGCAGGAGAGAGGGAGGGGCCCTGTAGTGGCTCCCACAGGAGTTCATCGCATGGCTCCTGGGAGGGTGACAACAGCACTCTCCTGCTGTAAGCCAGCACCGTGGAACTGAAGAGCGCCCCCTGTGGTGCAGGTCCGCAGAGCTTTGCAGTGCAGAGACCGGCAGAGGCGGCGGTGCTCCCAGGCAATGCCAGGCGATGGAACGCAGCCTGGCCCCGTGGGTTGCAGTCATTTCCCCTGGGCAGCATACCCGCCTGCTTCCAGCTCCTGGCAGTCCCTCCGGTTCCCTCTGACTCTCAGAACGGCCTGAGACCCAAGCCTTGCCCTGGTCGGTTTGGCTCAGCCGTTAGAGCATTGGCTGGGACCAAAGAGTCATGGGTTTGATTCCGGTCAAGGGCACACACCCTGGTCCCGGCCCTGGTCAGGGTCACATGGGAGGCAGCCCACATCATCTCTCTCACTTTGGTGTTCTCTCTCTCTCTCCCACCCCCACTCTATCTGAAGATAAAATGAAAAAATATCCTCGGGTGAGGATTTAAAAAAAAAAAAAAGATCCAAGCCTTAAATCATGTTTAAGAGACTGGCGATGGTGGTATTTTCCAGGGCCAGGTGCTGAACCAGGGAGCAGAGGTCGAGGTGGCTCTGGCAGTCACTGACTCTGCTCCCAAAGTTCTGGTGATGTCATGGAGGTGGGTGACTGGCAGGGTCATGCTGGCTCCCTGCAAGGATCTAAAGAGAACAGTTTTGCCATCCACATGAGTTATAGTCTTTTTAAAAAAAATCCTCACCCGACCTGAGGATCTTTTTTTTTTACATTAATCGTCAGATAGAGCTGGAGGGAGAGAGAGAGAGAAACATTGATATGAGAGAGACATATCAATTGGTTGCCTCCTGCACAACCCCAACCGGGGCTGGGGACGAACCCAGGACTCGTTGGTCCGTGGGCGGAGCCATACCGGCCAGGGCAAGTTACAGCCATTGAACCACAACTCAAACAACCAATGGGAGCCTTCTAGAGTGGGTGTCCGTGTGTGCCACGCCTGCGCTGGGGTGACCACCAGCCTCCCATGTCAAGAACTCTAGCAAAACAGCAGTGAGTGAGACTCTCACTGAAAATCATTTTCCCAGCACCATGACAACAAGCACCATCAAAGCTCATGTCGATAATCCATCCTTCACCTTTCTCTGCCTGTTCTGGCTTAGATTGCTCATATCTTAAAATACTTGCCTGGCTGAAAATGCGGTGACTCAACCCGGACTGGCATTGAACAGAACAGGCAGGAGGTGCTTTCTTCTGAAGAACTGTCAAAACCCAGCACAGTGCCTGTTCATGTCACACGTTGTTCCTGTCAAGGGGGAGACGCACTTCTCGCTCTCTTGTCAAAATTGGAGTTGCCAGGGAAAGTAAAGCAGGTAGGATGTCAAACTTTGGGGCTTGTATTACACTGAGTTGGAGGAAATCTGGCATCTTCATCTGAGACTTTCCTCCACATCCCCTTCCCAGTGCAAGATGGGCCCCATTTCTGAGGGCCACCGTCAAGGGTGAAAGTCACCCACAGACCCACGCCGCTCCACGTGGGCCCTCTGGCGGCATCTCAGTCAGTGTCTAGTTGTAATGGGTGGGATTGCGTGAATCCTGACTATGGCAAAGATCTAAGAATTCCTCTGAAGCTGGTAATTTGGAGACTGCATGGTTTGTAAACTTGAATTAATAAAAACTGGGGTTAATAATGTTATTGTCAATTAAACTATGTCTGTTGGTCCTCTCAGTTCCACTCGAATTCAATATTGTGGAATATTGAGAAATGCTCTCAAGTCAGACCGGGATTGCCTCTTATTAGCTGTGTGACTTCGGCCAAGTTGCTTTACCTCTCTGAGTGGTTCTTTCCTCAACAGCCAAGGTGGAAATGACATCACCTTCCACACTACAAAGCAGGGAATGTTAAAAGAGATCACGAATGTGAAGGGTGCCAGCCCAGAATCTGCTCCATAAAAATATCATTTCTTTTTTCAGTCTCTTCTGTGATTTTGTTTGTTTGTTTGTTTTTTCCTGCAATTTGAAATGAGCACCGTTTCTGGCTAACAAACGTTGGCACATTTCAGTATGTGGCTGTGCATGCTTTTAGGATCTCACAAATAATTTTCCAAGAAGGATTAGGAATGATCAGGATACAGACCCTGAGACCAGCAGTTGCCAAAGTCACGAGAGGGGATCGGCACGGTCCAGAAAGCAATAGGAACCAAGCCACTGTTGACTTTCGGAAACTTGGGGGGTGGGGGAGGAGTTGCATTTTCCTTTCAAAAGGCCCACAAATATTCTCCAAAATGTGAGAGCCGGGGCAGCTCCAGGGGCACAGGCAAGAGACCCTGGGAGCCCCCCCGCTACATGCTGCCTCCTCTCCTGCACCCGGTCTGCAGCCTTCCACCCTCTGCCTGGATTCAGCCCCAGGCCAGCTGGCCTCTTCGGATGTCCAGCCACAAAGGTCTGTCTTCTTCTGCTCTTCCGGTCAGAACCTCAGGCTTCAGCATCTGCTGGGTCTCCCCCTCAGTCTTTCATTTGTTTGGCCTCAGCTCCCCACCAAAGACAAAGGATGGGTTTGACTCCAGCTTCACCCTTATTGTTAGGATATTATGGATAAATTACTTAACTTCTTTGACACTCAAACTTCCCACTTGTAAATGGGGCTCCCACATTGTTAGGTTGTGAAGACTAATGTGAATAAAATGTATACCAAGTATTTTGTAAAGTACTGAGAAGAAAAATAACTCAAAGCCCTCTTAGACATGTACCTTACTGACACGCAGTAAGTCTGCAGAGATATGTGTCAGGCTATTTTCTGATTAAAAATCTGTGCCATGGAACTGCTGTCCAATCCCCAAACACACCAGGGGATGTCCCGAGCAGTCCCCGGGGGCACCAGTGGGCTGTCTAGTTGGCTTCTGAGGAGAATCTGACATTTACCGTGTGCTCACTATGTCTAGGATCATGCCTGGGACCATCTCGTTTGATCCCCATTGAACTGGTATTAACCCAAGTTCCCTGACTTGTGTGGGGCAAATGGAGCCACGTCTGAACTATTCATCCGAATGATCGTTTGTTACCATCCTCACTCAGCAGAACTTGATCCCAGCAAAGCACCTTTCACCTGCGCTTCTAGGGAGCCCCTGGGATCCGGTGTCTTACGTGCATTCCCCCACGCCGCTGCCCCCTCCCTGCGCTGTCATCTGGCCCTGGCAAAGCGGCCCTGGGGAGAAGACGCCTTTCTCTCCTGCTATGTTCATTGATGGTGACCCTGTAACAAAGTGTCTTATAGAGTACTTGGCAAACAACCCTGTTAGCTCTGTGTCAGCTCTGCCCAGGAATGGTTCCAACATGGGGGAGGGCCAAGGACAGATGAGCCACAGTGTACTTAGAACGGCTCCCTTCTCTGACATGGACACTCCGCCACTTGGTGAGCTCACTGTGCTTGGCTCCTTGCGGCTCCTCCAGAAAGGCAGACTCCCCAACCCGGGGGTTCCCCGCTAGCTCACCAGACATGACTGCATCCTAGCGCAGACTCCATGTACCCTCCCACTACACAGATGAAGAAACGAAGGCTTGGAGGGTCAAGTAACTTACCCAAGGTCACACAGCCAACAGGTGGCAGAGACAAGAGCCAAGCCCAGAGCGAAGTCCAAAGCCCAAGTTCTTTCTGATCTGAATCCCATGATCAAAGTGGCAACGTGACATGTTGTTCTGACCCTGGCGTCCACACAGAAGGGCACGCTGTGCCGGTCACTGTTTACCGTACGTACTTGTCTCCTCCCAGCAGCTTAAGTTACTTTCTGCTCGGTTTCTGTTGGGAACTGTGCTTCAGTCATAAGGAATTGGGGATCCCTTCCCATTTCACCCTCCTTCCCACCCCTAGCTGCCCTCTCCATAGACCTGCTCTTCATTTCAGTGTTATCTGGCTCATGGTTAAAAGTGCCCTGGTGCTTATGTAGATGACAGAACAAGCAAGACTTGGCCGCAGCCAAAAGCCCAGAGGCAGCTTAGCCAGTGTTAGCAGATCTGAGAAAAACACAAATCTCTTGACTCGGTTCCCAAAGCCCCACAACCTGACACCCTGCGCCAACCCTCTGCCTCAGCCTAAAGGTCCTGACCCTGAGTTCTTTACTCTGCTCCCCCCGCCCCCCCAGCTATAGCCTGGTGCCCAGAGGGGTGGGGTCTGTATCCTCATGCACCCACCAGACACAGCTGTCCCTCCCAGTCCATTCCAATGACCTGGTGTCTGCCTCTTCCTGATTGACACTCCAGTTTCCAGAGAGGACTGGAGCCTAGTCCTGGCCTTGGTCCCCTTAGCCAGGGCCTTGACCTTCTGCCTTGGCCTTGCCAACACTTTCCTTGGGGAGCTGAATACCCTTCTCCCCCAGATGCTGCCAGGAGACCTGACTATACCTAAACAAACCTCTCTCTCCCCTCCAGAATAGAGGACCCCATTTCCTCTCCAGGCATGAGCTCCCAGACTCTAGCTGTGCTAGTTCCACTCGGCCTTTGAGAAAACTCTCTGGGGAGGGGGCAGGCACACCAGCCTGTCTTGGCCTGAGCTGACCACTTCCCAGGAACTCGGGGGTCAGGTGCCTGGCCACTTTATTTGGCAGGCTCCTTGGTTACCACCAGCTGAGATTCTCAGGTGCTCGGGTCACTAGGGGAAGTGAGCTGGATTTCTTGAGGACCCTATTATACACCCGTAGAACTCCCACCCCCGTTCCCAGTCCTCCCGTTTTTGCTTTCTTTTTCTCCAGAGCACTTGTTACCACTTTGATAGACTGATACACTCCATGGGAATTTAGTCGTCTTTGCTTGAACAGCGCCTGGCCCGTGGTTGGAGCTCAATAACTACCTGTTCAATGAATGACTGGAAGGCCCAGGGCCTTGGCAGGCAATGCCAGAGCACACATACCGAGGCGCTGGGGAAACCAGGAGTTCTCATATCTCAGTTGTCACAGAGCCCAGTTGCCTCAGGGCTGCCAAAAAGGATTTCCAAACCTCCTCGTCTTAGCCAGGGCAGTAAAATGTCTACAGGTGCTTCCTCGGTGCAGCTCTGGGCACCGCGAGAAATGCCAAGCCTCCAGGCAGCTTACCATTCGGCTCACCTCTGAGCCATCCACCCCACTGAAGACTGCTGGCTCCCCGGCGCAAGCCCGCAGCAGGCCTGCACAGCTTGCGGGACCTCCGTGCTCCCCCTGCTCCTTCCTTCCCAGACATGAGTCGGCCTTACTCACCTCCACATCCCCGGTGCCCAGCACAGTGCAGAGAGGCTGCAAGTGGGTGATACATATCTGGTGACTAAATGAACGCCTGGCTTCCACATCCAGACGAAACCAGCCCTTTCTGAATTAATTGTGTGACTCAAACACCAGGGCATAATGAGTTTATTTCTTTGTATTGTGATTAATGATGCTTTTGTTCCAAAAAGTCTTCAATTCGCCCTGGCCTGTTTGGCTCAGCAGTTAGAACATCAGCCTGCTGTCCAGAGAGACCCAGGTTTAGTTCCCGCTAAGGGCATGTACCTCGGTTGCAGTTTGTCCCCGGCCCTGTTTGGGTCCTGCGGGTGGCAATCACTCATTGTGTCCCTTTCACATCGATGTTTCTCTCTCTCCCTCTCTCTCTTCCTCTCTTTCCCTCCCACTCTATCTGAACAAAAAAGTGGAAAAATGTCCTCAGGTGAGGACAAAAAAAAAGTCTTCAATTCTGAGATTTAAGTTATCCCCTATGGAATAATACTATTTACAAAAAGGCACAGCATAATTTTTAGAGTAAAACTGATGATTATGTTTCTTTTCTTAGACCTTAAATATCTGTTTTTACTCAGGGATGACTTTTTTTGTTTGTTTTTTAATTATGTGGAGTGCTTTATGATATCGAAAATAAAATTCTATGAAGAAAAGCTGATGCTGCCCTTCCCATCTCTCCTGGAATAAATACACTTTTTATGTGTTACAAAAGCTTTTTTTTTTTTTTTACATCCCCAAACCGATTATCCAGGTTCTCTTGGATTTAGGAGAGGGTGATTTATTTAAAAAGAGGAAATAATACACAGAGAAAAAATAAGACAGGTGTTGCCTTCATATTCACAAGAGGAGAGACTGAGCATTTTCTAAATAAAAACTATTCACAGATTGCACTAAGTTTTATATATATATATATATATATATATATATATACACACTTTATTGATTTTTACAGAGAGAGAAAGGGAGAGGGAAAAAGAGAGAGAAACATTGATAAGAGAGAACATCAATTGGCTGCCTCCTGCATGCCCCTCACTGGGGATTTGGCCCACAACCTGGGCATGAGCTCTGACTGGGAATCGAACTGGTGACGGCTTGGTGCATCGGTCGATGCTCAACCACTGAGCCACACCGGCCAGGCCGGATTGCACTCAGTTTTTAACCAGACTGGACATTTAGTTGATTATATCCCTCAAATTCAATTATTAAAATTAATCAGTGTGATAAAATTTAAGAGGAGAAAAATTCCACTTTGATTTATGATTTTAAACATTATTTATCTACACTGATCAACTTATGGGTAAATGCTTAGGTGCCGAGTCACTTCAGGCAGATGAACACCTTGAGCAGACAAAATTCATGTGCTTCGAAAGGCAAAAGAGAAAAACACACTGAAAATTTCAAAACATCATCCTTATTCCTGACAACATCTTTTAAGCATCTGAAACTAACCGTGCCAAAAGCCAGTCTACCCAGTTTAGCAAACCAGTGGATTCCACTTGGGGTTTAGCTGGTTAGAGCCGGGTTTTAGTCACTTGCTACATGGCGTCCTGACCGACATGGTAATGACAACGTCTAATTTACATTATTTGTGTGTCACTGGGTCCAGCTCCACTGGAAAATGAGCTAATTAAGTCCATTTAATGGTCGGATTGCTGCCATGGCTAGATCCTGACAGAGCAAGGCTGTTTGGAAGAGCCCCCCAGTCTGTTCCTGCACCCACCGAGTGCACCGCCTCCTCTCACCTGGTTCGAGAAAAAGAACAAAGAAAGACCTTTCCTCTGGGTTATCTGGGGCGGAATGTCCTTTCTTCCCCTTCACCCCTGTGGAAGTTGTACTGAGGGGGGAGACCCCCTCTTTTTCTTCCCTGTTAACCCTTCCTGCTTCTCTACAAGCAGGTTTCAGTTTCCCACAGTAAAAAGACTGACACAAACCTCAACCAGCCTCCCAGCTGTGAGTTCCCCTTCCCTGCCCAACCAGCTCTCTGGAGCAGTGAGCTATGCCCGCTGCCCTTGCTCTCGCCTTCCCGGACTGCACTTCTAACCCAGTGTGACTTGGTTTCTGCTCTCATGTCCCCATCGAAACCGGGGCCACGGGAGTCATCAGTAGCTTCCTCAGAGTCAGATTCCAGGGGCACATTCTGGTGTTTGTGCTGGACATTTCTGTGGCATTTTTTACCCCCATCCACTTCCTTACCTTAGAGAATCTCTTCATCTAAACTGCTTCGTGCCCTTTTGTTCTGGGTTTCTTCTCACTTCGTTGCCTCCTCCTCAGGTCCCTATTCGATCCTTAGAAGCTGGTGTCTGTTGGGGTTAAGTTCTTATCCATCTCATGATTTTCTCATTCTGCCCGCTCTCTCTGGGCCATCTCAACCCCACCTCCACTCCAGTGACCACCTATATGTGACCATTGCCTGAGGGGTGCTCTAGGCCTCTCTCCCCGCCTTGGCACCCACGTTCCTAACTGCCTCCTGGAGGTCTTCTCTGGAAGTCCCACTGGCACGTAAAGAATATGTTTAAACACACCATCTTCCTCTCAGACCAGTTTCTATTCCTCTACTTGTTTCCACAGCAACTTTTATCATCATCCACGAACCTGCACAAAAGACCTAGGGTCCTCCTGGATTCTTACTTTCCTTTCCCCGTGCCCTGTTTACCAACACAGAGTCTGGGACCTGGCAGTGCATAATGTATGACTCGAAGCAGTGTGTGTAGATGGATAAATGAACTATGGGAACACACAAAACCAGGGCTTTTACTTGAGTCTAAAACTTGACATTTTACCTTCCACAGTTTTTCACTTCTTCATGAACATCCTTGTCCCAGATGATCTTCAACTCTGATGATCTATGATTCCAGACTACTCCAGCCGGACACCTTGGGCATTTAACCACCATTCCTTCTGATCTGTTTAATCCCATCTCTCCTTTTGGTGCCTGTTCTGCCTAGAAAAAGAGGAGAGAGGCTCCTGAGATAAAGTAGGACATAAAACATCAATTACACCACCTTGCAGAACACATTTCACCCTGATAAGAGGTCCCCATGTATCTTTGCAGCCACCATGAGTCACAGTGAGAGCTGGGAGGGGAGAGAGGGGCGAGGGAGGGGAAAGGGTGGGGGCCGCTGAAGGGAAGATAAACAGGCCATTTCCTCCTTTCCCTGTCATGCCAGGTCATGCAACCCGGTGTGAGCCTGCCCCGTGCTGCACGCAGGAAAGCACCTTCCCTATCCCGCATGACTTCTCTCTGGTAATGAGTACCGTGCTCGTCTCATGAATGCTTGTGTGCTTAGCACTTTTTGCTTCTCAAAACATTGCACAAATATCTGAGTGACTTCCACGTGCAGGCATAGTGCTAAGCAATGTGCACTTGACCTCATTTAAGCCTGAGACCCTAGCAGATAGGTCCTATTTTTATCTCCTACTTGTGGACCGGAAATAGGGGAGCGGAGAGGTTATTTGCATCGCTAAGGCCATCCAGCTAGTAGTATAGTCCTGCAAATCACCAGCTCAAACCCAGGCCCGCCTTGGCGGCCATGGTTACAACTACTTCTGATGTATCATGGTTATCTTTTGTCCACACGTGCACTGAGTGCACAGTATCCAGGAGCTTGGTAAGTGTGCCTAAACCATGCCACTAAGCGCTGGATCTGATCCCAGCTGCCGGAATCCAGAAACGCAGCATTGGTGATTTCCTACTGATTGTTTGGACCTCAGTTGCCTCATCTGTGAAATGGAGGGACAAAGCAGGTGTTCTCTAAGAATCCTGTGCCTTCAGCATTCTGTGACTCTCTTTCACTAGTGCAGTGTTCCCAACGTGCTGTTAGGAAAGTGGGCAGCAGCAAAAGTAAGACAGCTGGGTTCTCAGCCTGGGGGCCCCACAGCCTCAAGTCTGACGAATGCGCCGGCCCCTGCCCCCCTCCCCCGCCCCCCAGCGCCAGAGTCCGGAGCAGATGCGCCCCTCTCCGCGCATGCGCCCCTGACCACCAGCCGCCTGCGCTGGGTGCAGATGCGACTCCCTCCCCGGCGCTGGGGAAATCAGTTCCCTGCTGGGGATGGGGATCCTGCCGGGAGCGAAAGGGCCCCACGGAGGAGGTGCCTGGGCCTCGTTAGGAAACGCCAGAGCCTTTCCCAGCCCCCCAGGAAGCCTGTTCCGGGTGCGGGAGGGCGCGTTCCAGCCCCCGCGCGGGACGTTCCAGGCGGCACAGGCCGTCCCTGCCCAGCCCGGGAACCGCGCTGCGGGCTGCGGGCTGCGGGCTGCGGGCTGCGGGCTGCGGGCTGCGGGCTCCGGGCTGCGGGCTCCGGGCTGCGGACTGCGGGCTCCGGGCTCCGGGCTCCGGGCTCCGGGCTGCGGGCTGCGGGCTGCGGGCTGCGGGGCGGGCGGCGGCGCGGGGGAGGGGAGCGCCCGCGGCCAGGCTGGGAACGCCGGGAGGATGTCCTCTCAGAGCCACACTGCTGATTCAAGTAAAAACGTCTAAGGTCACTGAGGGCTTTTGTCCCACTGGTGGTGGGGTACGCGAGGTGCGAGGCGTCACCTGATGGTGTGAGCTGCTGAGAGGCAGTGACCACGCAGGGAGGCCCGCAGTCACTGCTGCTTGGGGATAAATACAACTCGGGCAGCTATTTTTACACCAGGGGAAACACGGAGTGTGTGAGTGAGTGTGTGTGTGTGTGTGTGTGTGTGTGTGTGTGTGTGTTGGGACAGGGGTGACATAGGAGAGGACATGGAGCCAGAGCACATGCGGCCTTTTCCCTACTCATCTCATGACCTTATTCCTCTTCCGCTGCAGAGTTCCTCCCCAGAATCTAAGGTTTTTAATTTTATTATTATTTTTTAAATCAGTGGAGGAAAAAGGATGCTAATCAAAAAGTTCCTTAAATGGTGAAAATAAATGAGATATCAGCATGCTGAATTTGCCTTTTGATCTCCTCACCGTTCATTTCCTTGTTTGCCGTGGTTTGAATATCCAGGGCAGAGGTTACTGATCCGAGTTTGCTGTTCCCTAGGCAGGGAAGGCAGATGTCCCCCGAGTGTAGGTCAGTGGGCTGGAGGAGACAGGAAGGAGAGCCTTTCCCCCAAGAGGCCAAACAGGTTATCACTTTTGGTTTTTGGATTTTGTCCTGTTAGGACCTGAAGTCCTGATTCTGCGGGGGGTTTTTCAGTCCATGTAAGCAATGGGAAGGCAGAAGGTTGTCCAGAAAGGGTGGTTGCTTTGCATTTTAGCTGATGGGAAGGTGGGGGGTGCGCAGCCTGTGCCTCTGTCAGAATACTAGCAGTGCGGAGCCCCCCCTCCCCCTCCCAGGAGTGTGGTGTGGGAGAGAGCTGCTTGAGGACTCGCTGCTGACCGCGGTTCATTTCAGATCACTCAGTTTACTTAGATGTCACTTCACTTCTTTTCATTTTCTCCCCAAGCCCTAAGACCTCTGGAGCAGGAGGCACTGAAATAATTTTAAAAATTGGCCCTGGCCAGTTTGGCTCAGCGGTTAGAGCATCGGCCTGCGGTCCCGAGAGACCCGGGTTTGGTTCCGCTTAGGGCATGTACCTCCATTGCAGTTTGTCCACGGCCCTGGTTGGTCGTGTGGGTGGCAACCACTCGATGTGTCCCTTTCACATCAATGTTTCTCTCTCTCTCTCCCTCCCACTCTATCTGAACAAAATATTGAAAAATGTCCTCGGGTGAGGATAAAAAAAAAAAAAAAAATTAAAGGTATGAACTAACCTAAAATTAAAGTGAAGCTGTAGAGACTCACTATCTCAAGGGTTTGCTTAGGTGATCTTTTAGCAGTTTCCCTTTTGAAAATTTTGGAGGCAAAACCAAAACAACACAAAACAAAACAGCAAAATACAACCTTCACTGAGGAGGAGAGGCTACCTGGAAAACTTTTTGATTTGTCACTTCTAAGGTTCACCAGATAAGAATAAGAATAGAAGGTGGGAATGTATGGGGTGGGAGTGGAGGGTTTAAATGTGCTTCATCTGTGACGAATGTCTCCACCAGTGTGAAAAAAAGTTACCTTTGCCTTCTGCAAAGGGCAGTGGGAATTCGAAGTTGTGGGGAAGCATCCCCACCCAGAAGCCACCACAGCCTCCTCGAGTTCCAGCACAGCGAGGCCCGTAGATATTCATCTGCTTCTTCCAAAGGCAGGTCAGAGAAGATGGTGCTTCAAGGAGATAACACAATGCAGAAGCTCTTTCAGGGCAGAAACCCCCAAACATCCTCACTATCCGTGTGCCAGTTCCTTCTTAGCCAAGTTTGAGGGGAGATGCCCCCCAATCATCATTATTATTTTTTGTTCTCATATATGTTTGTTTTGCTTTTAAAAACATAGTAGAAGTTCTCTGTCCAATTGGGTGCCGAGCCGGAGAGCTCTCAGACTACCAAAAACAGTGGGAGCAGAGCCGTCCACGTGCACCCCACAGGACAGTTCCAAGCTAGCCCTTCTCCTCCACTCCCCACAGAGTAGATGATAGTGCCACGTGGTACACTTCAAATGAGGGCAAGGTGCCCTCCCCACCACCCCCAGTTACCTTTCCCTGCCTGTCACTCTACATCCATAGCAACTAACCCGAGTCTGAAAATCAGAAAGACAGGTTCCTGAAGAGATGAGATCTCGCAAGATATTAGTACCAACAGTCTGCCTTTGTGGATTTATCAGAGAGCACATTTATTTGTAAGAAAAGAAATCTGAACTGTAAGAGTTCAAAAATCACTTTCATTTTTTTGTAACGTATTGTAAGAAAAAAGGGTTCCGGAAGTGGCAACTTAATTTGTATCTAATTTTGGCAAAATAATTGCAGACTGCTTCCAGTTTGAGTGAGCAGCATGGTACAGCTCCCAGTAGTTACTTATTTTAGTAGCTGTCTGTCTCAGGATGAGTGCTGGCTATTTTCGGTTGCATGTGGGAAAACCAGGGGCACCGCCTCGCTGTGGCAAGTTGGCATCGCATGTGTGGGCTGTCAGCCATGATATTTAGTTCCACTCAGACTCATTTCTAATTTCCAGTTGGCGTGTGACCTTTTCCTTTATTTAATTTGGGGTCCCGATCACTTCCTTTCTCTGCCTCTCTACTTTCCCACCTATCTCTACCCACATAGGCAGCTTTAGGCTGAATCCATCTCATAATAAGAGCGTGAGTGCCAAGTGGGTCGTGTAAAATCTGTAGGGAGAGATGTGAAATGAAGCACACTGTTCTCCAGGGCTCCTAGGGACCAGAGTGTACCTGTCTACGAACACAAAGTAAAATGCAGTGAAATCATACATCTCTCTGTAATTTATGCTGACTGGGATAATGCCAAGATCAGGATGAAATAGCTTTGGTATATGTGGCATAAGTAAGCCACCTTTAAAGTGACCTTAGTGGTCCTCATCTGCTAGTATCACACCCTGTGTAAACCCCGTTTGCACGGGGGCTGAACCTAGTGACCCGCTAATCAAATAGAACATAACAAAAGTGATGGGATGTTAGGTGACAAAAAGACTATGCCTTTCTTATTCATCCCTCTCTTTCTCTCTGCCTCTGTGCCAACTGCCATTGTGTGAGCTACCCTGTGGAGAGCCCCAGGTGGCAAGGAACCGACTTCTGAGACCCGCCAACAGCCACAAGCGTAAGCCAGGAAGGTGAGCTGCCCTCCAAACCTTGAGATGACTGTGGCCCTGGCTGCACCTTGATGGCAGCCTGTGACACTGTGAGCCAGCGGACCTTTGCACTATGTCCAGATTCATGATTACAGAAACTGAGAGATAATATATGTCTGTTGTTTCAAGCACCTAAGTTTTAGGGTAGTTTTTATACTGCAATAGAAATGTTAATAAATACTAATATTTCCTAAGCAGGGAGTTAAGACCTCCAGTGACCCCACCAGAGCTGTCTCCAGTTTCACCTCTTGCTACAGCCCCACCATCACCC